AACTGTTTAATAGTAGTGTAGAGCTCAGCTGTGACAGCTGCTACATTCTCACGGCTTATGCGGCAATATTCTTAGAAAATTCATTTTATGGACCTATATTAGATTTTATGCTGGTGGTCAGTAGGGGTCCTGTGCATTTTTCTGAGAGGGAATATGGTCATCTGGACTTTGTCTGTGCTTACTGTTCCTCAGACAGGAGTCATTCAGGATGTTCTGAGGGGTTGACCTATTGCTTACTTGCTTTGGCAGGTTGTATGCATACTCTTTGGCAGATCAGTGCCCATCCTTTGGTTTGTTGCCTTCTGGATGGCTGGCGAGTTTGGCCATGCCGTCTCATTGATGTAAATGTGTTATCCAGGTCCAAGGGACCTTTGTACCCTCTCCAGTCTCCATTACATATTGAATAATGAAATAGAAATGTTTTGCAAATGATATTCCCTTTCCTTGTCTACCTCTGTGCTCCTCTCTAAATCTGAAAGTTTGATGCTTAAGTAAAAGATGCTTTGTTCTTATCCTTGAGTTTTTTTCACGAATTTGAAATATATGAATGACAGATTTGTCTGGCGGAAGAAGATAGAGCGTGATGTATCTCAAGGTTTGCCTCTTGACGAGTTTTCTATAAAAGCTGAGAAGAAGAGACAGAGGGAAAGAATGGTACTTGTTCCAGGCTAGTTTTGTACTACGTTTTCTTGTCATATCACGACCTTATAGTAATACGAAACATGCTGTTTAAATTGTGTGAATCATCTTCCTCTTTTTCATGCTCTCCATTGCTATCTTTGTTGCAGCCTTTCTAAATTTTTCATGACAGGAGAATGTGTGTGGCTATAATGATATAGTTCATATACATGCAAAATGGAGAAATAACATCTGCCTCAAACAAGATTCTAATGGGAACATGGAAAGTTAAAAATTGAGAAGAAATTATTGCAGCTAAGAGAAAATTGCTTTAAAATTTGGAGTTGTCGAAAAATGTTGCCTTCTTTGTGAACTGAGAAAGAATTGAACAGACAAGCTAACTGAAACAAAGGGAATTTTCTAATAAAGCAAGCACACTTTTGAGAAAGCTGGAGGAGTTAATGTTAATTGGCTAAGCCTGTGGAAGATGTCAATGAGCTGTCAAGAATTCAGCACAAGCGTAGTACATAACATTACAATAAAGCAAGCAGACATTTCAGCACAAGCATAGTACAGAACGTCACAATAACCTTTTCTATTAATTTCTATTCACATGCTGAACCATTTATTGTATCCCTGTCATCGAAAAGTAATTATATGTAATTATATAATTATTACTTTTGGGGATATTTTCTTCCCTCTTTTCGTTGTTAATGTGATGAGGCGTTGCACACGCGGTCATGTGGGTTTTAGTCTTGGGTTTTGTGTAGAGTTTAACACATTGTGCTCCTTCTGAGTCCTTATATCAACTTATGGTTCTTTTTTCTCCAACTATAGATGGTTTTTTCAGGTCTTAATGGTCTAAAACATCTACCATTATTAAGTAAAACATGAAAGGATAAGGATCTTTGTATAAAGTGATTTAATACTCTTGGTAATTGCATTCCTCACTGCCTCCTCTTAGAATTTTGATTTATTCCATGCAATCTTTAATACATATATACATATATGTATGTATGTATGTATATACATATATGTACGTATATGCATGTGTGTGTGTGTTTATTTATTTATTTATTTTTACTTTGTTTTTTTTAACGTAGGCCGAGATTGAAAAAGTTAAAAAGAGAAGGGAGGAAAGAGCTCTTGAGAAAGCACGACACGAGGAAGAGATGGTAGGATTTGATTGCTCCTTTTGTGAAAATGTGTTTTTCTTGTTATTTTCCGTTGGACGTTTGGTATTGCTGTTGCCTATTTTATCGTTTAACCCTGTTACTCATATAATACACCATAAAATCCAAATGACCTTCAAATTGCAGGCATTGTTGGCAAGAGAGCGTGCTCGGGCAGAGTTCCAAGACTGGGAGAAGAAAGAAGAGGAGGTAGAATGTTTGCTGGCTTTAGTGTTCTGTTACTTATGTTTTGTCTTTTGATCTACTTGGGAAAATATGCTCTATTCATTTTACTAAAATTTATTTTCTGCGGACTTGCTAACACTTTTTATTTACAGTTCCATTTTGATCAAAGCAAAATTAGGTCAGAGATCAGGTTACGTGAAGGGCGTACTAAGCCGATTGATGTACTCATTAAACATCTTGATCCTTCACATGACTTTGATATAGAAATAAATGAACCTTACATGGTCTTCAAGGTAAACATTTCTTGTGTTAATTATTTGTTGTTTCCAGTCTTTGATCCTTTATCCTGTTATATTAGAGAAGAATGCTAAGAAAGCTTTTTGAACATCTGTCTCGAAAACGTAAGCCTATTAAATATGAAGGTTCAAATTATTAAGTGCCTAGTACGTTTAATGTTAGTGCAGCTGTGAGTTTAGAAGGATTTTATATCAAGTAAAAAGAATGTAAGTTAATAGGAAAACAACTGTACTTTTCAAGTGTGTCCTTTATTTACTGTGATATTGAAGCATTATGCAATCGCCGGGTCTCTCACTATTTTTTCTTGTTTTCGCTTGACAATATATTGAGATTTGACCACGATGTCCTATATCACAACTCGAAAATATGTATTTAATTTCAATTGAACACATAAGTGTTAAGTACATCCTTGATACGTGCTTTAGACCTCTTACAATGAACACAGCCTCGTATTTTGAAGTCTTCTTTGATGTTTTCCTATAACATTAACTCCAAGAATATTATACCCTTTCTCTATAATTTTCTAGTGTGTGGACTCTAATAATTGAATAAAATTCATTCACTCGTCCATAATTTGTAGGAATCACGTTATTTTATATAGAGATTATACAATAAAAGAAAATTAAAATAGAAAATGAAACGTTCATTTTTTTTTTCCCAATAATTTTTCTTTTCTTACAACATTTGCATTCTTCAAAAGATATGGGATATATCTTGACAATATGGATGTCCAGCTTCATTGCAATAATTTTAATAATTGCGATGTGTCAAATCTTTTTATACAAATTCTAGATATTTAATTCTGCTGTTATTGTTAAGTTATAACTTCTATAATTTAACCTCAATTCTTATTTTGAAGTGACTTGATCGGACACAATTGACTTAGACTCCAATTAATTAATTCTTGTACCAATCAACTCTTAATCATTCAAGGTTAATTAATTAGTTTAGACTTATCCACTTATGGTCAAAACTGCTCCCTTAAATTAACTGAAATTTTGAATTTTCACAGCCTGTTTAGTATTAATTCCTCTTAACACGTCATTAATTATCTTCTCACATTAATCGCTAAAATAATTATAAGTGACTCTTTTGATCAATAAGTCACTTTTATTCATATATCATATTGTAAGTTCTTTTTTTTCCCCCACTTATGCAATCTCTTTTGATCACATCACTATTGACCTCAAATTAAATTGCTTGTTAGAAAAATAATTGTGCTAACGATTTTACTATAATTTGGTGATAGATAATTACATGTTATGAAAATATGTCGTTAATTAATTTATTGTAATTCTCAAAGTAACGAGGTATTGATTAAATAATTACCACCTATTTGGTGTAGATAAAAATTATATTTTTAGTAGATTTTGATAAAAATTGATGAAATGTGTAGTTAAAAAGTTGTTAATTCCATAAAATGTATTATTTGAATTAAATGTTGACTTTAATTTAGATCAAAATCTACTTTTATAGTTTAACCAAACAGAGGCTTATAATCTCACCCTTTGTTACCCCAAATAACTCGAATTGATAATTTATGTTCATAGTTCGTAATTCGTTCATGATATAGACATAAGCTTGACTATCAATAAAATTTAATTTTGTATAACCGTATATTAAATGTTACTTGATCCTGTCCAAAAATCTTTATTATCTTTATTAATAAAGTCATGATATAATTTACTAAACATAATACAATCTTATCGTTCGACCCTATTTAATTATTTTTATCACTTTATAATTTGAATATATCTATATTTAACAACTTAATTACTGCTGCAATCCATATTTAACAGGAAAATAATCGTCCTCTCCTTACTGCTGCAACCAGGAAATCCATATTTAACAGGAAACGATAAGAATATAGGACAAATAGAACCAAACTTTCTATATGCATCATTGAGAAAATTTCGAGCAAGGCACGCAAAATTACTATGTATCTTGTTACCTATGACAGTATCTTATATTTTCAATGCTTCAAAATAAGTAGACACACATTTCGTCCCCCTTAATAGTGAAGTGAGCATGTTTGGCCCCCGGAGAAGCCACATCTTATCTGACGTCTTTGGGCTGTATGCGAGTCTGTATGCGCATGCTTACAGCCCAAATAAGCCGGAAAAAAGTTGCTTTTCAATGGGGGGGCCAAAGCATTATATCTTGGTATCTACAATCCAAAAATATGCATCAAAGGTGAGTTCATGAAGATCATCTTCATTTTTGTTTTTTTTTTTTTCTATATATATATATATATATATATATATATATATATATTAATCAATCATATCCTCGATTCTGGTGAGCTTGATTCCAAAATGATCAAGAAAATTATAGCTTTATTAATATTGGTCTCTTTTGATACTTGCTTATCAAAATGTTTAAATTTTGAAATAAAAAACAAAAGTTTAAATTTTTGTTTTAGACAGAATTACATGATGTATGTTTTTGTTTATATGCGTTTAACTTGATTTGTGTGAGAAGAATCCGGTAATACATTAAGTGCACGTCTCATTTAGTATTGAACATGATTCTAGCTTATTTTCTTTTCTAAAACAATCAAGTAGTATCCAGTCGACATACTGAACATTGAATGTTCAATTTTTCAGCTCAGAAACATGATAGTTATTTAGAAACCATACAAGATAGTCCTGGTCAGAAATTGGCTCTTATTTCTGAGATGCAAAATGCAAGTTATAAATTATAACGGCCAATTTGATGGTCATGTAATGCAGGGAATACCATTTTTTTTTTTTTTTTCAATTATTCTTCAGCACATACAGTTAATCCCTACAAAACTATTACAAAACTCGAAAGAACAGCAGCAACAAAAGATGGCAAAAAAGAGAAGAAAGAAGCTTGTGAAGCATAGTAGTAGTTGTAAGGGTTTGAATAGTTCTGCTGTCCACCCCATGAAATATAAGATGGTGGTGGAGGAGGTGAAACTGGCGGTGAGTGGTGGTGTGCTGGCAGTGGCGGCTTTGAATTCCCTGGTTGTGCTGGTGGTGAGCATACGACAGGACATTTCTCGCATTCACTGATGCATAGCAAGCCTGCCGCGGGTACAATGGTTTGGTGATCACATTTTGCTATAGAAAACATTATCAAGAGATACACAAACCATTTTCTAATCATTAATGCAAGAACTCCACTACGTTTCATCTGATTCCCTCAGTGCATGAATGGACTTCGTTAAAAATGCATATGCTGTGACCCTGTGACATAAACTTGTCACACTATATATCGGCCTAAAGCGTATTATAAAAGCAGTCATTATTTCCTTCATGGAGATAGAAAATCCTTAGCAGATCCAATACACAGTGACATTTCCACCTTTATTGCGCCTTTTTCTAGGCACAATCCACCTTTGTGGGCATCAATTCCAGCCAAGTTGATTCACACTTTGTGCTTTCTGCTTTGCATATTCCTGTTATGGGGGAAGAACTTTTGGTTATCTTTTTTGGTCCTTAATCCCAAGTAAAGAATCTCATCTTCTTTTGCAGATTCTGAGGGATTTCTTTAGAATATGCTATATCATTGAGCAATATGAACTGCTTAAATAAAAAACTACAGCATTATTCTGATCAGACACTTCAATGATCAGAGACGAACAAATAACAAACTGAAAAGAAGTAAAACGACCATTTATTGGTTCACGCACTAAAAGCAACCCCTTATTATTTTAAAAGTACTGTTATGAAACAAAATCAATTAAAGATTCTGTTGAAGTGACTTTTACGGCTTATTATTTCAAGAAGATACAACTGCTTTCTGTATTTTTTTCGGTAAGCATGTCCTTTTATCTGTTCCTATTGATTTTAGTCAAGTTAATTTAGTATCTTCACATTCGCAAGAAAGCAGCTCCAAAGTTTCTGAATATCCAACTGTGTCGTCCAGTGGATGCTGCCTTGTTTTGGAGAGGGTATTTCCCATATCTACATCATTCTTCAACCATGCATCATCCTAACAATTTAAAATGGAGACAAGTCTATCAGAAATTAAACAAATGACTATGCAAAATAATGTTAACTAGCTTCAATAATGCAAGCAGCCATGTCTTCCAATTAGAATTGGAATTTATGCAGGGAAAAGGAACTTCATTTTTTATCCTCCAGATAGTCGTAGGCATGAAATTTTCGTTTCTCCAGAAACTTCGAATAGTAAAGCTTCTCCTTATTTTTGTTTAACTATTACTGAATAAATTATTGACTACATGGAGGTCCATGACTCTATTTTAATGAGAGCATTCGATAAACATCCTGAAAATCCCCTAAATTTGATGGTGCTTAAATTTATTTCGATTAATATTATGACTTTAAAAACTGTTGTACATACTGGTCGGTAATTTCTTAAGATTATTCGAAAGAAAATGATCCTGAGAACAAAGACAAATGAAATATGTTTTAATGCAAGTTGACATGCCCATATTATTAAACAGTTCAAAGAAAACTAATTGTTATATAAAAATTAACTTCATCTATTCATGTGTTTTCATTAAAAATATCACCTTGGATACTTTTTCATTAGGATTTGATCTTGGAGGAGAATTTTGATGGTTATGGCTGCTGTCAGTGCTTAATCCATTGTTCATTCCAAGTTCTTTTAGCCGGTTAAGTTCTGGCATTACTTCTGAACAAAGATCTGGTCGGTCTCTCTTCCTGAGCTCAGCACATTTTAGAGCTAGTTTCGCAAAGCTAAGGGCCTCTTCAATAGGCCAGTCTAGCACTGTTGGATCAAGCAACTCAGCAAATGTTCCCTTTTCAATGGCTCTCTCGACAAGGTGGGTGAGCCCCATAGGGGGCCTTGCAGTGATAATTTGGAGTAACATTACCCCAAACGAGTATATATCTGATTTTGTCCCCAATTTACCCGTCTGTTGATATTCTGGATCAATATAACAAAATGTTCCTGCAGCAGAGGTCATACGATATTGTGTGACATTATCAGCTACAGACGGGGGAACTAATCTTGCTAAACCAACGTCACTAATTTTGCATACATAATGGTGGTCTATGAGGATGTTGGCTGGCTTAAGATCACGGTGCACAAGAGGTTCTGGCTTTGACTGGTGAAGAAACAGAAGTGCAGTTGCAATATCAGCTGCAATTTTGAAACGAGTACCCCAAGGAATGGGAGGGGTGTTGCCTTTCCTGAACAATCGATCTTGTAAGCTTCCATTGCTCATGAATTCATACACTAAGCATCCATATTCAGGACATGCACCAATAAGGAGGACAATGTTCGGATGTCTCATGCAACTTAGGACCCCAACCTGAACATATAGGACCCTTCTTATTATAAACTTTCCAAGCACAATGATTTATTGACGAAAGGTGCAAAATAAAGTTTGACATCAGAACCTACTCTGAAAACAAATCCAATTTGCAGCTTAACTTTCAATATGATTCCAGTGAGTAAATGATTCTACACACTTAGGTCCTTTAGTATGCATGGAAGGACATTTTTCATAACTAACTAGACATTCTAATGTACAATAATTAGTTTGTTCCAACTTTTGCAAAGACATTTAGTTGAAAGGCTTGAACAGAGTTAAATGTTGTACAAATCAACACCTCCATAAAATTAACGTATTCATCAAGACTTTATTCCCAACAGTTTATGTCACCAGAAAAGTATTTATCAATATGCAATTTTGCATGTAAGAACATCAGATCTGTCATCAGTTTTGTAAGTTTACTAGTGTAATGCATAGTTTGTAATACAATGAGATCATGGAAAAAATAAAACTTGGTACCAAAAAAACACACCTCTTGCTGGAATTGTTTCCTCCCTTGTTTAGCATCAGATCGAAGAGCTTTTATGGCTACTGGAGTATGATCGAGAGTACCTTTGAAAACAGGACCATAACCACCTTCACCAATTTTATTTGAACTTGAGAAGTTATTGGTCGCTACCTCTATCTCTTCTATTGTATATTTTCTGCAGTGGACATCATTACTTGTTAGAACAGTAAGTGCTCGTTTCCTCTCTGCTGCCTCTCGTTGGACGTTCAACTCTGCAAACTTTCTTCTCTGAGTTTCCATCTCAGCTATTTTTTGTGCCTTCTCCGCTGCTTCAATGGCAGATTTGCATTTTGCCTTCTCCATCTCCACAATTGCAAGAGCAGCCTCTTCTTTAAGCCGTGCTTGCTCTAATTGACAGGCTTCTTCTAGCTTCCATTGATGAATTTCTTTAGCCTAGAATGGTATATGGTTTGAGAACGTTAAGAAAGTTAATACTTTGTATATTTTGCCCAAGAACATTGGAATTGAACAATTGATACACACTTCGTCAACACATATCACACACACACACACACACA